ATGGATACCATTGATGACAAACTTATTCGTCATAAAAATTATAAAATTTTGTAGGTAATAGTATATTTTCGTCACTAAAGAGGTTATTAAGGCTAACGAAATTGATGTGTCACTAATTATTTAGTTCGATCAGTGATGACTTCATTTGTCTTTAATGTCATATGTATTTCGTAGTTGAACAAACATTATTTCGTCACTAAAAATTAGCTTTTACATACAAATTCTTTTTTTGTCACTAAATGTATAAATTAATGACAACTTTCCTTTTTATAATTTTGTAGCCAAAACAATCTTTTCGTCACTAAAAATATTTCATTTATTCGACAAAATACAATTTTCACTACAAGATGTCATAATTAGCGAGAATTACACTTGCCATATACTACAAAGTTAATTTGTAGGTAATAAGTAGCAATTTTAAGCATAAAATTATTTTTGTCACTAAATATCATATTTTTAAGACGAAATTGTGAGTGTCTTAAAAAATATAATATAATCATCACAAAAAATTAAGCTTTTAACAATATAACGTAGTCATCACTAAAATTTAAGCTTTTAAAGATCAAATATTGTCACTAATCACAAGCATCCGAAAGAACCAAACCAAAGGATAACTATTCTGAAGGGGTTTTCCCTCAACTTTATTTCAACAGCCTTTATAGTATCATTCAAATCAGTGTAACATCATAAAAAATGTAGAATATATTTTGTCAAAAAAATTACAATCAGTCACTTAGCCTCAAATCTGCCTGAATTGCAGGAAATAATTGTCCAAAGATGCAGTAGTTTTTCTCAAAATGCAGGCAGCAAGAAACAACCTCAAAATGCAGCAGCTCATGGCAAAAATGCAGCTGTAAATGGCCAAAAATGCAGTGACAAATGTCCCAAAATTCAACAACAAAACGACCTCAAATAGTGGCAACAAATAGTCCCAAAACATAGCAGAAATTAGCCAAAGATTGCAGCAACAAATATTCTCAAAATATAGCAGATTAATGCCTCAAATGCAATAACTATTTGCAGTAAAATACAGTAGTTGCAAGCAATACATGGCAACTGTCCATTGGTAACTCAAGAGTCCAGCAACTCAGAAGATACAAGCTCACGTGATGCTTGAGAATTTCCTCATGTTATGAAAAAAAAAAGTTGAGCAATAAGAGTCTAGAAACAATTAGCTTTTAACAACATGAGAATAAATGACAGTATAAAGTATTTTCCTTGTTGAAAGATTATCATAACTTAGGTGAGGTTCCGGATTAAAATTTTGAGTATCTTTAATAGAAAATGAACTTACAAAGCTGATTACAAAAAATAATACCAACATCAAACTTAACAGATATATGTAACACGGAGCTGAATTTCAAATGTCACACAAGCTCAGAAGTTCTCCAGAAATTAGGCATAGTAGGACCAAATAGCTAAAGATAACAAGCCAGACAGAGCATTTGAAAAACATTTCATACATCTGAAAATAAGATAAAAACTCAGTAAGGAACAAAACAAATCAAAACAGAACAAATCAGAACATAACTTTTACAAACATAGGACACCCTTTTAATGTGGAAACTAGCAGTAATCACGGAAAAAAAGACGAATTCTTATTTCCATTTTGGCACCCATTTGTTGTGAAGGAATAAAACCTATATAACTGCCTTTTCATGCTCTTTTGTTTATAAAATGAAATAAAAATGACATGGCGACCAGGACACAAAAATAAATCAGAATCTAGACGAGTAACAAAGGCATGTCTTGCCACCAAATGATATTAAACAATCGGCAGTTAAAATTAGTCAAATGTTCTCTATTAGAAGCTATTCTATAAACCAACATGCACCATATACTTGCAAGTTTTTTTTTATACAGCTTACAATTTCAGGTTGTGTTTATCTGAATGCTAATGGTATCAAGTACTTATTGCTAAAAAAATATTCACAATAATTTCAGCGCTAAAATACCATTAGCGTTTTTTTTTATATAGCTTACAATTTCAGCACGAGCACCTACAAATGCTTTTGACTCCATGAAACGATTACATTTCATTTATGATTGATTGACCTTGTTTACATGGCATCATTTATACAAATAAAATACATATTAAAGTAAATTAAATAATAATAAAATAAATGAAGTGTATTTATTTGAATATAGATCACCATATGATCTGGACTCGACTACAAGTCACAAAGTTTATAGGTATGATAAAATAGAAGCACTAAATGATCAAGTACAAAAGAGTATAAAGACTGCAGTTTGCTTCCAAGCTCTTGTGATATACCAAGGGTAAGAGCGATTTTCCTTGTACCAGTCCGACAAACATGCAGTAAAGCCTGACCAACAATCTCAATCTTTTTTCTTACGTATACACATCAACCATAAGCTCTGTAGATTCTCTGGTTGCTGCATGACCAACAAACCCAGCTGACACTGGTAGTGATCTATCATATATAATATAACACTACATAGTCACAATTCTTCCATCTCTGTTGACTAACTTTCCTCTGATAATTGCTTAGTTACTCCACCCTTGGTCACTTTGGTTTACACTATTATCAAAAAGTGAAAGAACTATGATCCACCTAGATTTTATATTGGTGTATTCATTGAGAATCAATGTTCATAAAGAAATCTATCGACGTAACACTAATAAAATAAAGTAATGACGATGACAACAATTAGGTTGACTTCTCTTTACTTGATATGTTTTACAGAACTTTATTTTCGTGAAATTGTATAAATAAATTAGTAAATTATTTAAAGTAATTGCAACCAACGTCGAAATATAAAAGTCTGTTTTGAAAGAAGTTGAATGTTTCATGATAGCTAGTTATATTATTTTACTCTTTAAAACAATAACAATATTTAGCTACACAAGTTGTTTGATAATCTTTTTCAAATGGTTTTTTATATTTAGGGGTTAGAATGTACGGATCTTACCACTACCTCCTCGAGGTAGAGAGATTGTTTTCACATTTCAAAAATGATAAATATACTTTATCCTCATTGGCATTGATATCTTATAAGTAAACAAAGAAATAATAATAGATAAATTCTAGCACAAGAAAGATCAGATGCTTAAAACATTCATAAAATTGGGTTATATTTCAGAACCTCCCTCTCTCCTCCCAAAAGCAGAAACTTCTACTGCATAAAAGTTAAAAATTTCACCATCCATAGCATTCTCAAGTTCAAAACAAAACAAGAAAATTTCTAGAACTAATCACCAACTTGGTTGTTTTGGTTCTCAATCATTTGTGAACCACAACAAATATATTAAGAAAATGTGTTAAAAATATAAAATACTTTGAGGTAATTGCAATTAATAACCAAAAAACAACCAGGGCAGAAAGAAAATTACTTGAGAGAGACGCCGCAGAGGTTAGAAGAGAAAGAGATTGATATGGGTTGAGTGAATCACAACGAAGCCCAGGAATAGTGGGTTCCTGTGGATCTTGAATCATTTCCCGATGACATTGTAGAGAGGACGAAGAAGACACGGTAATAGCAGCCATTTAATTTGGTGAGATCTGAAAAAGTAGGCACATACAAGATAGAGAATCAATCCCTGCAACCTACCATACATGAATATTTTCATCCCAAATAAAATCTTTACCTTGCAAGCCCTTTAATTTCTGAGAGGGCAAATCAACCAGTCAAAGAACTCAGTTCAATCCAGCAGTTAAAACGTTGAATGAAAAACCCTAGAGAAAACTAAAAGAGGGGAAATTGTTGAAGAAACATGAGTTAATTGAGGGCGAAGGTGACAAAAAAGTCTTAAAATTAAAATTGGTGACAAAAAAAAATTGACCAAGTCAAACTTCTTCTTAATTAGTGATTAAGATAATTAGGAATTAAAGTGTAATATTTAAAACTTCTAAACTTTTAAAAATATTCAAATAAACCCATTTCAATTGTCTTTCTTTTTCTTTCTTGCAACAGCAGCTTGAAGCCCATTTCCAATTGTATTTCTTTTCTTCCTTGCAACAGCTTGTAGTAGAGAGAGACGACATTGTTGCGAAAATATTGTTGGTGACTTCCAATACCTTCGTCTTGGTCTTCTTCGACATAGTCGTCTTCTACCTCAAGGTAACACTCTTTTCTTTTCTTTCATTGTTAGGGTTTTGAGATGGTAAAGATTGAAATTTCATTGGGTTTTATTAGGCCTTCTTTGTTTTTAGCATATGGAAGTTTGTGGGTTTAACGATTTTGCTTGGTAGGGTTTTCTTGGGGAAAAAAATGTGGGTCTTTTACACAAGATTTGTGTGCTTTCATTGATCCTTCTATTGTTTTTTTTTTGTTATCTATGTGGGATTGTTCTTATCTTCTTCTATGTGGTGATTGATGGCTCTTTAATGTTTGCATTTTAATGTTTTGCCCTGTTTTAGGTTCTTGTTTCCTGTAGGAAAAAAAGAATTTGGTTGCTTTTGAGGTAAATGTTTGAGACATTAGAGGTGTCTTTCTTGGACCTTTAATTGTTGCTCATCTTATGGAGAATGTTGTTCTTAGAGATCATTTATTTTTATTAGTCTTAAGTTAGTTTGATCATTGGTAGTTAAGCACTGCTATTAGTTGTTATCTTCCAATATTATTATGTTCGTTAACTCTTGGGGGGGTGGGGTGTTTCACAGAATGTATTATAGTTACTAGTAACATATTCATTTTTTTCAAGCCTATGGTTTTGTTCATGATTTAAGAGGAGAAGTGTAGTATGGTTTTGTCACTTCCTGATGTTGTTGTTACCTTATTTTATTGTATGCTTTGTATACAACAACAATAATTATTATACCTCAATCCCAAACAAGATGGCATATAGATGATTTGCATATATACTTCAAATAACATACATGCATCCAGCCAAATTTTGATGATATATTTATAATTGTTTACCCTATTTCTTTATGTGGTTTTGAAACTAACTTTCAAAATTATCTAAATGATAATGAATTGTCTTTTTTTATTATTACATTTTGATTTTATTGTTTTTATATATAGATTGTGCATCCATGACGCCAAGTTTTTATACAACTCCTACTAAAACGTATGAAAGGCGAATCAGAACACAAAGACAAAGAGAAGAACTAGAAAACACAAATTTGAAAAAATCTATAGAAGAAGAAGGAGAACATGAAATAGATGTTTCTTCTACAAATGTAGAAAGAGATGATAGAGCAGTTGAGGAGGAACAAAATGATATAGCCATTCCAGAAAAGGAGACATCTCCTATTGTTGAATTATCTCCGCTCAGTCCTTCACCCGATAACTTCATTGTGAAGTCGATTAGGTATGCAAATTACAATTTGGAGTCAATGATTGATAGGTATCCAAACTTAAGAGGTTCTTTAACTGTTAAGTCGGAGTTACGTAAGTTTTCTAAATTTAGAACGATTTTAGAAGAACAAAAATTGGTAAAGTTCTTTCGATCTTCTATTTTCGGAAATTACTTACAACTTGAAGGTACTCGTATAAGATTTCAAATGAGTTTAGTCTATCAACTTCTTCGACGTCAAATTTATAGCCATCGAAAAGAAGAAATTTGGATAAATTATAGTGGCATGCCCATTTGTTTTGGAATGAAGGAGTTTGCTATCATCACCGGCTTAAATTGCCATAATGAAGATGTGTATGATGTTGAAAATATGTCAACTAAGACAAAAATGAGACGAAAAGAAATTCTTGAGGTTGTGGGAAGGAGTTGCAAGAGAAATGAGTTGATTGAACATCTCCAAACCAAAAATCTTAGTAAAGATGTAAAAAAATCAGTGTTTACTTTATTAAAGTTCATAGCTTTCTTTGTGGAAAAGATGTGAATACAAATATTCCAAAAAAGTGGATTTTGCTCTCGATCGATAGAAAAGCATTTTCTGCTTATCCATGGGGTCGTATTAGCTATGATATTACAATTAAGCATCTATTGAAAGCGGTGAAGACTATTGATGGGAAGACTACCAATCTTTATGGCTTTCCATGGGCCTTTATGGTAAATTTTATTATAGTTTAGTTCATATATATATTTATTTCATTATTTTTTGGTGCTTCCAATATTTTGATCTCCTTTTGTGATTATTTTATGTAGTGTTGGGCATTTGAGGTTGTTCCTTTCCTCCAAAAGAAATATAAGGTGTTTTCGAAACAAGTGTCTTCACCGAGGATTTTTCGATGGCTTTTGGCGACTAATAACGAATTAGTTGACATTAATGAGTTGTTTGATCCCCCTCAAGACTCGGTAGGCATTATTCTTTAAACATTTTTAGTTAAAGTGAAATTGTTGTTGCTTTTCTGATTTTGTTGTAGCCTTTTCAACAAGTGTTTTCTTTGTTTAATTAGTTGATGTCAATTGTTGAAGTTATTACAACAATTGCTGGAACAATTAGAACAACTAGTATATAATAATCTTAAAATGCAACAATTGCTTTATCACATTTTAATTATTATTATTTTTACATGTAGATTGTGCATCCATGGATAATTCCTACATCTAGTGAAATGGAAATGGAATTTTTCACTAAGTTTGTGCCTAAGAAATTAACCAAGGATGATAAGATTGAAAAGCTTGAGATAGATTTGAATGGTGTTGTGGCTATAAAAAGAGACATCATAATTGATGAGCATAATCTTGATGTAGGAGGTGGAGGAGCATCTTCTCCAATTTTTGAGAGAGTTTTTAGTGGTGTTGGTGATGGAGGAGGAGGAGAATTTACTCCAAATGTTGATAGATGTACTGATGGTGTTGATTTCGAAAGAGGAGGAGACTTCGGTGATATTAGTGGTGGTTTTGGAGTAGGAACATCTTCTCCGATCGATGAGAATGTTCCTTGTCTTCAAGAAACTCCATCCACTAAGGAGACGATAGATTTATTGAATGTCAGGGTAGAGTCTTTAGAGAAAACTATCGTCACCATGAATGCTAAGATTGAGTCTTTAGAGAAAGCTATCGTCACCATGAAGTCTAAGAGAGGTATTAGGCCATCATCAAAGATTTCTCATCCATATACTCCCGACTATGTTAAAAGAACAAAGAGACAAATTTCGGAGGCATAGTCAAGTGCTAGAAAAAAGAAAAAGGGAAAAGTGAATGAGACCATTATCGAAAAAGAATTGGTGTCCGGAGATAGTAAAGGTAAAATTATATTCTAATCATCTTTCTAAGATTTGCCTTGTGTTATATATATTTCATTTTTACATGTGAAATTCATTTTTTTAATATTACAGATGAAGGGGCTGATATTGCAGATGAAGGGGCTGATTCGAATTCAAAAAGGAGTTGAAAGAGTGATGAAAGAAGAAGAAGAAGAAGAAGAAGAAGAAGAAGAAGAAGAAGAAGAAGAAGAAGAAGAAGAAGAAGAAGAAGAAGAAGAAGAAGAAGAAGAAGAAGAAGAAGAAGAAGAAGAAGAAGAAGAAGAAGAAGAAGAAGAAGAAGAAGAAGAAGAAGAAGAAGAAGAAGAAGAAGAAGAAGAAGAAGAAGAAGAAGAAGAAGAAGAAGAAGAAGAAGAAGAAGAAGAAGAAGAAGAAGAAGAAGAAGAAGAAGAAGAAGAAGAAGAAGAAGAAGAAGAAGAAGAAGAAGAAGAAGAAGAAGAAGAAGAAGAAGAAGAAGAAGAAGAAGAAGAAGAAGAAGAAGAAGAAGAAGAAGAAGAAGAAGAAGAAGAAGAAGAAGAAGAAGAAGAAGAAGAAGAAGAAGAAGAAGAAGAAGAAGAAGAAGAAGAAGAAGAAGAAGAAGAAGAAGAAGAAGAAGAAGAAGAAGAAGAAGAAGAAGAAGAAGAAGAAGAAGAAGAAGAAGAAGAAGAAGAAGAAGAAGAAGAAGAAGAAGAAGAAGAAGAAGAAGAAGAAGAAGAAGAAGAAGAAGAAGAAGAAGAAGAAGAAGAAGAAGAAGAAGAAGAAGAAGAAGAAGAAGAAGAAGAAGAAGAAGAAGAAGAAGAAGAAGAAGAAGAAGAAGAAGAAGAAGAAGAAGAAGAAGAAGAAGAAGAAGAAGAAGAAGAAGAAGAAGAAGAAGAAGAAGAAGAAGAAGAAGAAGAAGAAGAAGAAGAAGAAGAAGAAGAAGAAGAAGAAGAAGAAGAAGAAGAAGAAGAAGAAGAAGAAGAAGAAGAAGAAGAAGAAGAAGAAGAAGAAGAAGAAGAAGAAGAAGAAGAAGAAGAAGAAGAAGAAGAAGAAGAAGAAGAAGAAGAAGAAGAAGAAGAAGAAGAAGAAGAAGAAGAAGAAGAAGAAGAAGAAGAAGAAGAAGAAGAAGAAGAAGAAGAAGAAGAAGAAGAAGAAGAAGAAGAAGAAGAAGAAGAAGAAGAAGAAGAAGAAGAAGAAGAAGAAGAAGAAGAAGAAGAAGAAGAAGAAGAAGAAGAAGAAGAAGAAGAAGAAGAAGAAGAAGAAGAAGAAGAAGAAGAAGAAGAAGAAGAAGAAGAAGAAGAAGAAGAAGAAGAAGAAGAAGAAGAAGAAGAAGAAGAAGAAGAAGAAGAAGAAGAAGAAGAAGAAGAAGAAGAAGAAGAAGAAGAAGAAGAAGAAGAAGAAGAAGAAGAAGAAGAAGAAGAAGAAGAAGAAGAAGAAGAAGAAGAAGAAGAAGAAGAAGAAGAAGAAGAAGAAGAAGAAGAAGAAGAAGAAGAAGAAGAAGAAGAAGAAGAAGAAGAAGAAGAAGAAGAAGAAGAAGAAGAAGAAGAAGAAGAAGAAGAAGAAGAAGAAGAAGAAGAAGAAGAAGAAGAAGAAGAAGAAGAAGAAGAAGAAGAAGAAGAAGAAGAAGAAGAAGAAGAAGAAGAAGAAGAAGAAGAAGAAGAAGAAGAAGAAGAAGAAGAAGAAGAAGAAGAAGAAGAAGAAGAAGAAGAAGAAGAAGAAGAAGAAGAAGAAGAAGAAGAAGAAGAAGAAGAAGAAGAAGAAGAAGAAGAAGAAGAAGAAGAAGAAGAAGAAGAAGAAGAAGAAGAAGAAGAAGAAGAAGAAGAAGAAGAAGAAGAAGAAGAAGAAGAAGAAGAAGAAGAAGAAGAAGAAGAAGAAGAAGAAGAAGAAGAAGAAGAAGAAGAAGAAGAAGAAGAAGAAGAAGAAGAAGAAGAAGAAGAAGAAGAAGAAGAAGAAGAAGAAGAAGAAGAAGAAGAAGAAGAAGAAGAAGAAGAAGAAGAAGAAGAAGAAGAAGAAGAAGAAGAAGAAGAAGAAGAAGAAGAAGAAGAAGAAGAAGAAGAAGAAGAAGAAGAAGAAGAAGAAGAAGAAGAAGAAGAAGAAGAAGAAGAAGAAGAAGAAGAAGAAGAAGAAGAAGAAGAAGAAGAAGAAGAAGAAGAAGAAGAAGAAGAAGAAGAAGAAGAAGAAGAAGAAGAAGAAGAAGAAGAAGAAGAAGAAGAAGAAGAAGAAGAAGAAGAAGAAGAAGAAGAAGAAGAAGAAGAAGAAGAAGAAGAAGAAGAAGAAGAAGAAGAAGAAGAAGAAGAAGAAGAAGAAGAAGAAGAAGAAGAAGAAGAAGAAGAAGAAGAAGAAGAAGAAGAAGAAGAAGAAGAAGAAGAAGAAGAAGAAGAAGAAGAAGAAGAAGAAGAAGAAGAAGAAGAAGAAGAAGAAGAAGAAGAAGAAGAAGAAGAAGAAGAAGAAGAAGAAGAAGAAGAAGAAGAAGAAGAAGAAGAAGAAGAAGAAGAAGAAGAAGAAGAAGAAGAAGAAGAAGAAGAAGAAGAAGAAGAAGAAGAAGAAGAAGAAGAAGAAGAAGAAGAAGAAGAAGAAGAAGAAGAAGAAGAAGAAGAAGAAGAAGAAGAAGAAGAAGAAGAAGAAGAAGAAGAAGAAGAAGAAGAAGAAGAAGAAGAAGAAGAAGAAGAAGAAGAAGAAGAAGAAGAAGAAGAAGAAGAAGAAGAAGAAGAAGAAGAAGAAGAAGAAGAAGAAGAAGAAGAAGAAGAAGAAGAAGAAGAAGAAGAAGAAGAAGAAGAAGAAGAAGAAGAAGAAGAAGAAGAAGAAGAAGAAGAAGAAGAAGAAGAAGAAGAAGAAGAAGAAGAAGAAGAAGAAGAAGAAGAAGAAGAAGAAGAAGAAGAAGAAGAAGAAGAAGAAGAAGAAGAAGAAGAAGAAGAAGAAGAAGAAGAAGAAGAAGAAGAAGAAGAAGAAGAAGAAGAAGAAGAAGAAGAAGAAGAAGAAGAAGAAGAAGAAGAAGAAGAAGAAGAAGAAGAAGAAGAAGAAGAAGAAGAAGAAGAAGAAGAAGAAGAAGAAGAAGAAGAAGAAGAAGAAGAAGAAGAAGAAGAAGAAGAAGAAGAAGAAGAAGAAGAAGAAGAAGAAGAAGAAGAAGAAGAAGAAGAAGAAGAAGAAGAAGAAGAAGAAGAAGAAGAAGAAGAAGAAGAAGAAGAAGAAGAAGAAGAAGAAGAAGAAGAAGAAGAAGAAGAAGAAGAAGAAGAAGAAGAAGAAGAAGAAGAAGAAGAAGAAGAAGAAGAAGAAGAAGAAGAAGAAGAAGAAGAAGAAGAAGAAGAAGAAGAAGAAGAAGAAGAAGAAGAAGAAGAAGAAGAAGAAGAAGAAGAAGAAGAAGAAGAAGAAGAAGAAGAAGAAGAAGAAGAAGAAGAAGAAGAAGAAGAAGAAGAAGAAGAAGAAGAAGAAGAAGAAGAAGAAGAAGAAGAAGAAGAAGAAGAAGAAGAAGAAGAAGAAGAAGAAGAAGAAGAAGAAGAAGAAGAAGAAGAAGAAGAAGAAGAAGAAGAAGAAGAAGAAGAAGAAGAAGAAGAAGAAGAAGAAGAAGAAGAAGAAGAAGAAGAAGAAGAAGAAGAAGAAGAAGAAGAAGAAGAAGAAGAAGAAGAAGAAGAAGAAGAAGAAGAAGAAGAAGAAGAAGAAGAAGAAGAAGAAGAAGAAGAAGAAGAAGAAGAAGAAGAAGAAGAAGAAGAAGAAGAAGAAGAAGAAGAAGAAGAAGAAGAAGAAGAAGAAGAAGAAGAAGAAGAAGAAGAAGAAGAAGAAGAAGAAGAAGAAGAAGAAGAAGAAGAAGAAGAAGAAGAAGAAGAAGAAGAAGAAGAAGAAGAAGAAGAAGAAGAAGAAGAAGAAGAAGAAGAAGAAGAAGAAGAAGAAGAAGAAGAAGAAGAAGAAGAAGAAGAAGAAGAAGAAGAAGAAGAAGAAGAAGAAGAAGAAGAAGAAGAAGAAGAAGAAGAAGAAGAAGAAGAAGAAGAAGAAGAAGAAGAAGAAGAAGAAGAAGAAGAAGAAGAAGAAGAAGAAGAAGAAGAAGAAGAAGAAGAAGAAGAAGAAGAAGAAGAAGAAGAAGAAGAAGAAGAAGAAGAAGAAGAAGAAGAAGAAGAAGAAGAAGAAGAAGAAGAAGAAGAAGAAGAAGAAGAAGAAGAAGAAGAAGAAGAAGAAGAAGAAGAAGAAGAAGAAGAAGAAGAAGAAGAAGAAGAAGAAGAAGAAGAAGAAGAAGAAGAAGAAGAAGAAGAAGAAGAAGAAGAAGAAGAAGAAGAAGAAGAAGAAGAAGAAGAAGAAGAAGAAGAAGAAGAAGAAGAAGAAGAAGAAGAAGAAGAAGAAGAAGAAGAAGAAGAAGAAGAAGAAGAAGAAGAAGAAGAAGAAGAAGAAGAAGAAGAAGAAGAAGAAGAAGAAGAAGAAGAAGAAGAAGAAGAAGAAGAAGAAGAAGAAGAAGAAGAAGAAGAAGAAGAAGAAGAAGAAGAAGAAGAAGAAGAAGAAGAAGAAGAAGAAGAAGAAGAAGAAGAAGAAGAAGAAGAAGAAGAAGAAGAAGAAGAAGAAGAAGAAGAAGAAGAAGAAGAAGAAGAAGAAGAAGAAGAAGAAGAAGAAGAAGAAGAAGAAGAAGAAGAAGAAGAAGAAGAAGAAGAAGAAGAAGAAGAAGAAGAAGAAGAAGAAGAAGAAGAAGAAGAAGAAGAAGAAGAAGAAGAAGAAGAAGAAGAAGAAGAAGAAGAAGAAGAAGAAGAAGAAGAAGAAGAAGAAGAAGAAGAAGAAGAAGAAGAAGAAGAAGAAGAAGAAGAAGAAGAAGAAGAAGAAGAAGAAGAAGAAGAAGAAGAAGAAGAAGAAGAAGAAGAAGAAGAAGAAGAAGAAGAAGAAGAAGAAGAAGAAGAAGAAGAAGAAGAAGAAGTGCTAGTGATGAAGATTAGAACAAAAAAAAATGTGAAAAGAGCGGGATGTTGGGAGAGAACAAAAAAAAACTGATTTGGGGTTTTCCTATTTTAGAAATTAGGGTTTTACTTAAATGTGGGTGAAAAGTGTAAAAACAAAAACTTGAGGACTTATTTAATTATTTTTAAAAATTGATTAAAAATTTGTCACCTACACTTAATAATTAAAACTAGAGTCACTCTTTTTACATTTCAACACTTTTTTGTCACATATAATTCATTCTCCCAA